CCAACAACAACTTTAGAATACCGGAACCAGCTTATATGAAACTTAGTATGTATTATTATGTCACCTGAGCCCACTTCATTGTCATACTTCTTCAAGTCCCTCCCATTGGTATTACAAACATTACAGCCTATCAGATTGATGAGCATTCTTAAGGAGGAAGAAATTTGACATGATGCCAGAAAGCCAGAAAAGCAAAGCCATAAGAGATGGCAATGGCTTGGTAAACGTGTTGCTGCAGCAACAAATACACATGTAACAGCAGAAGAAATGTTGGATGCAGTACTTTCTATGTGGTCTGTGTTGAGGCTATATTGTAAGTACCATTGGGATGAAGTGGTTGTGAGTTCTGGGTCAGGAGTGGGCAGTTTCATTTGGTGGTTAGCTGTGAGCATGCAAGTATGGGAATCTCCACTGGTAGAATCTGCTACCTAGCAATGAAAATAGGCTATTAGTTCTCCCAAGAACTTCTAATTGTATCAGTGCCATCACCTCATCATATATGGGGACTTCAGTCTGGAGTGGTGAACTGGGAGTTTCTGAAATCAGTTCCTGGATTCATATAATTTCAAGTTTATAAGAATACAGGAACTGATGTAAGGAGCTCCCAGTTATTTTGAGGAAAAAATAAAAGTGGCTTGATGAGGACTTCCTAGCTGTGTCTGTCTCTCCTCCCTAGCAAATTTTTTGTGCCTGCTTTAAATGAGCAGGCCTAAGGAGGGAGCAGTTGGAGAATAGCAGCATGAGATCCAGCTCACAAGGAATGAAGGTTGGATGTCAGAACTGCAGGAAGACATGCTGAGATTAGTATGACATTTTGGTGTGGTTCCCAATGGCAATCAAAGATGTCACAGGCACATCATTGGAGAAGCAATGGTGGTATGTCTGTAGGCTGTTCAGGACGAGCAGCCTTAAGCCTGGAACAATGTCACATGATGCCTCAAAGTTGGAAGAGGAGAGCCAGAAGAGATTGCCGTTGCTAGGCAGCGACTCAGTAAGCACTTTTCCACAGCATCAAATACACATACAGCAGTAAGAGAACTGTTGGACATGGTGTTTTCTGTGCAGTCCATGCTGAAAGTATATAATGAGGACCATTCTGTCTTTAAAGTACCTCACATTATGACCGATGATCAGTTGGCCAGTTAGTCTTGGTGTCAAGCCCCTTCTGGGATGCAAGACCAAATTTTTGTTACTGTCAGGTAGGTTTTTTTGGCTTCCCACATTAACAAAACTGCAGCTGTCAGCCTAACAGAATTCTGGTCTTGAAACCAATACTGACTGGCTGAATGACTGTTGGTCATAATGTGACTATTAACTGTAACAGCAGAGGTCAGAGGAGTCAGTTGTAATTTGTATCACATCTAATGTACCCACAGTAGAATTTCAGAAACTCTGGTCAAACCAGACTGAATTTCTGAGGTTGGTATAAGGGTACACTATACAACATCCTGGCACCAAAGCTCTTGTGGAACGTTTATGCATGATATTCATCACCATTGCTCCCATATCAGGATGTACCCCTTTGTCAGTTGGTGAAAGTCCAAAATGGATTCTAATTGTAAGATTAACACCACATATACACAGTGCCAAATCCCAGAAGACTGCTTTCTTCTGGATTCTAATTGTTCAGAACATGGTGGAGACCAGAAGATATTTCCACCAGTTACTGAAAGGAAAGGAACTGTATAGCACCTTGTATGGAATTACACAGATGTGCTACATGACTTGGTGGCAGTTCTCAAAGAGCACTGCCGAAAAGGAGGCAGCGAAGACCACCATTACAGAATCTCCATCCAATGAGGAGTTCTGTGATTAGAGCAAATGAAAGCAGACACCTATGGACGATGCTGACAAAAGAACCAAGAAACCAGCAATATCTGCCATGGGAGTAAATGACCCCCAGTTGCAGTTGAAGGATGAAGTTCCCACCTGGAACTTCTTTGTTCCTCTGAGGTCAACTGAAATAGAGACTGACCATGGAGATGACGTGGTTGACTTCACCAAGGGTCAGCAACGGCAAGCGTCATCCAGCCAGGCAGATAGGCCACCTGTTGTCCTGACCTCGTAGGTAAACATGATGCAATTGCAAAGGCAACTGAAGGGTTTACTGAAAGGCAACTTTGATTTCTGTAGCACCAGAAATGGTACCAGAGTTGTCAAGAAGAAATGGCAGAGTTTTTAACTATCCACTCTCACTTCAAGAGCAATAACTTCCCATACTTCATCTTCTATCCTAAATCCCAGAAGCCTATAAAGGCTGTGATATGGCATACTATATTCTCAACTCCTGCAGAGGTCATCTCAAGTGGGTGTCCTTGGCTCTGATGTTATTAGTGTCAAACATGTCAGCCACCCGTCAGTCACCTGCAGAAGGAACATCAACAGTACACCTTCCTTCCCCTCTTTCTCATAACCTTACCTAAGATGTCAGAGTACCAGGAGGTATTCAAACTGACAAGTCTTTGCCATATTGTAATCAGGGTGGAGTCATACAAAGCTCTGACTGGCCACATGTGTTGTTACAGCTGTCAGTAATTTGGCCAAGTCTGGGCTAACTGGAAGCAAACTTCATTGTTCAGCTCTATGGTTCAGGGACAGTCATCAGCACAATGAGTGCCTGGAAAGGGCAGTGCAGCATTGATACTGGCATGCTGCAGCTGCAGGTTGTTGGACAGAGAGGTACATCAACCCTCCAGCTGTCAAGGCTGCAATCACCCCAGCCAGAAATGTGTAAGGGAATGTCTTAGAGAATGCCCAAGACTGTGTTGGGAAATGTGTTCTCTCTCATCGATACCATCCCTGGGCTGTCCTTCACAGTGGTGCTGCACAGCAGTAGAGCAACAGCAGCAGCCTCATCTGCCCTGCTTCCATTGAGGCACAACCAACAACTACTGCCAAGTCAGTTCAGACTCCTAATGTAAACAGTCCGTCTCTGAGTTGTATGTTCAAATTAGTCACAGTGGTATTTCAGTGGATCATGACAGAGCTCACTTGTGCCGAGTTAGAAGAAGACAGAATGGTGGCCATCACAAAAATATTTACTGAAACTCGTGAAGCGAAATGAATGCTAGAGTTCACAGGCCCTGCTGACTGTGACTGCGACAAATGACAGACCCATCACATCTCAATAGAGAGAGCACTCCACCCCCCCCCCCAAAAAAAACCACAGCTGGCTGACATAACAAAAATCTGGTCTTGGGCCCCAGAAGGGGCTTGACACCAATACTGACTGGCTGACTGACCTTCGGTTCTAATGTGACTTTGAGTTTGACACTGACTTGGCTTTACCAGCAGCTGCTGCCTGTAGTGTGGGGGTGGTCACCACCATTGGGAGTACCCAGAAAAACAGCCCAGAGAGTGTCCCAACCTGCTGCAGTTGTGACTTGAAGTACAGGTACTTGCGGGCCCCATTAATTTACTGAGGCTACATCCCTGAAAAACAGGAGTTGCAAAGCTATAAAAACCTGGAGGAGATAAACCCAGGATTATCAGAGAGAACATTCTTCTCCAAATACACAATAACCCAGATGATCATTCGTTACCGTTCTTTGCAGCTGCAAACAGAAACATTGGCAACAACCATCACAACAGCAACAGTCATCAGAACACCATAGGTAGCAGGTCACCAGGTCGGTTGGTGCATGCAAAGTATGTAAATAGTAATGCAATGAATGATGCATTTGCTGTTATCACTTTGGTGCAGCAGCGTATGACAGCTCTCAGGTGCTGCGACAGAACAAGAAAATGTTGCTGGCATAACTTAAGTGGCATTTAGTTTGTTGAAGATTAATGGAAAGGATACTTCTTAGACCTCTGAAAACCACAGCATTCAATGCTAATGGCTCTGGGAGGCAGGCCTACAAGGTTAGAAAACAGTTGCAAGACTTAAAAATAGGTTCTAAAGGGTTCTGACAGTGGTGTATAATATTTGGAATTATTGCGTTTTTGGATGACGGACAAAGTCTGGTACTCATTTCTGTTAGAAGCTGAGTCAACCCCAGGGCCCTAGTATGGCTGGAAGGATTAGGTAAACTAAAAAAAATCTTATCTCATTGGGATTTGAACCTGCGACCTTCTGGCTTGCTCCATTGCATTGTGGCCTCTTCCTTAGGGAACTCCTCATGCTCTGCTACTTACTCTGCAGACAGGCCTCCATATTTTATAAACGGACCTTTCTCATGGCCTCTGTCTCTTCCTTACAGGCTTACATTATCGTCATTAACTTATCATGGTGAGAATCCATCTTGGCTTTCATTTCTGCTTGAGCACTCACTGTCTGGGCTTGGTGGATATCTGTCTTTTTCTTGATTGGCATCTGTTTTGGCTTTCAGCCTTGCTGTTGATTCTGCTTGGTTTTCATTTCTTTATTGGTTCTTATGTCATCTCTCATTTCCTGTAGTAATTTTTGCATGGTTTTCAGGAATACTATTGTCCCATTTTTGTAGCGTGGCGGTATGATGATCAAGATCCAATGTAGTATCCAATCCAACCACTTTTGACTATAGACAGGGTTTGGGTTGGAGAATGGATTTATTCTCCACTTATGCACAAGACTCAGAACAACAAATAATAACAGCACCACTGCTAATCTCCCCACACTTCACAAATTACTACAGCGCTTGTGACTATAGACAGGGTTTGGATAGGAGAAAGGATTTGTTCTCCACTTATGCACAAGACTCAGAACTACAAATAATTACAGTGCCACCGTTAATATCCACACTTTACAAATCACCACAGAGCCTGCTAAGCCTTTTCCAGCCTGCTGTGTCTTCACTAGGTGCTCCCTGCTTCTAACTGTGGAAATTCTTCAGCTTCTGTGCTCACATTACTGTCTGGCTAATACTCCATAACTGTACTGGGCCATCTCTCCTCAGCATCCCTTGCAGAACTGAACTCTTAACTGACAACTAATTGTGGTCACCCCTTTTTTCTTCAAGATAACTCTTCTGCATGGATCACGTAGAAAATACTGTTCCCGACAATAAGTAACTCTTATTGTTATAATGGCGTACTTACCATGCTGTTGCATAGCATCGACTGTTGTCAGGTTGTTTGTTTTGAGGTCTTTGCCTAGTAATGGCTCTGTACGTCACAATGTACTGTTACGGAAGCTGAGTGTGGAGCAATGGGGAGGTCACATTTCCCAGCCTTTGTGAGCCTGTCATTTGATCACACTATCGAGACCTCCTCTTAGCAACTTTGAGAAACAAAGGTAATTGTCACAGTGACATCATTTGCAATTTTGTGAAGGATTACATGTCTGTAAGAATACAGGTAAAATTTCTGGAGAGTTAGAGTGCAGCAGGCAAGAAGTTAGCTCAGTCCAGTTGAGTTCACTGTTGCAATTTTATGTTTAGTGTAGCGCAGAAGCTGATGTGAGGCATTGAGTGCTGTGAATCAGGAATTATTCAGTGCTGTATTTTAATGAGTGAGGTTGAGAGAGGAGTAAGTTAGTTTTCAGTTCAGTTCAATAGAGTAGATGAGAATTTAGTTCAGTGCAGTGCAGTGGTAAGAGATGAAGGAAGAAGAAGGTGGTGCAGTGACCGAGTTGTGCCTTTACAGTGAAGGAACAAGTGGACAAAGGCTGACCTCAGGAGCATAAGTGGTTACAGAAGGTGGATCAGTAACTGATACAATTATTGATAAACATCAGACTACATATTTTCTGAAGCTACTTAGGGTAAAAATTAATTTTTTTTTTTTTTCCAATTTTAGGCATGTCATATGCTGAACGTCTGAATGCTTTGGAACAGCTGGAGGAAATGGAGTCACGTCATCCAGGTCGTGCTCTGGAACTGCACCAGAAATTGTCGTCTCCATCACGCCGTCGCACTTTGCCCGAGACTTTACGTTGTTTTCAAGCCAAGCAGGCTCAGGCCAAAGAAAAAAGGGAGCGACTGATGCATGAGAAATCACAGAGATTAAGGGAACTACTTAACAAGGTAAGATACCAGCCATACTTTGCAGTGTAGTCATTGTCTTTTCTACTTGCACTGCATCTGGTTTGTGGTAAGGAACTGGTCATTCTGCAGTTTTTGTACTTTTTTCAGTCCCTCCAGACAAAAGTGAAGCTACAGAACACATCTGCTCACTGACAAACTTCCTCCTACAATTTCTCATTTTATTTCCTGGATCTGTTATAGTATAATTAATGAGATATGCATATCATACTGTAAAGAAATTATTATTGCGACTAGGCTGACAGATCACAAGATTCATTACATGGAAGTTATTCATTATAGGTAATAGTTACCAATAACATTTTCCATATTTGACTTCACATTTGCTTCAGTATTTACAGTGAGGAAAATAACCACATAAAAAGGTAAAGTTGTCCCTGTGATTAACTAATTAAGCACTATGCCATGAAGGCATATAGGGGAGTGGATGTATAGATCCACATTTTTTTGACCTCAGCACTACCTGAAGGTGAGTGGTCAGCTACATGCCCTGGCTGCTTTTGCTCCCCGGGGAAGAAACCTCCACTACCCATTGGATAGGAGGTTGGGTGGATTCCAGAGCTGGTCTGGACAACATAGAAAAGAGAAAATTCTTGACCCTATCAGGACTCAAACTTTGACCCCTCAGTTGTCCCGTCCATAGCCAGTTGGTATACTAACTATTTATCCTGGCCCCCATATAACCACGTTAGAAGTTCATAAATATATTCTTCTCAAAAACTTTGTAACTTGTAGGTGTACATTCACTTCTAACTAGGCATGTGAAAGAATGACTTCCTCAGTTTGCGATGAGAATTTAGAAAAAATTTCAGGACCCAAGATAAGAATGACAGTTTTTCATACTAGTCCAGTTTTTTCTCTATAATAATTCATAACAGTAGCCACGTTTTCATTGTAAATGTAAGATGATTCTAAGTGTAAAATGACCCTGCACTAGGAAACATGACTGTACACAAAACAAATTTTATGAGTTAATTACACTGTTACTGCAGAAAAATGGAAGAAAGTAAGTATTACAAAACATACTGTACATGAAATTTCTTGAAGTCAGAGTTTTTACTCATCCTCAGTATCCCCTCTCTGTTTGCCATTCCAAACATCTCTCTTAGCTTCATTGTCTGTACAGTTCCCATCTCATGTGTCCTCTTCACTGCTAATATTCTCAGCTTGTTCCTCATCATCCATTCCATCCATGTCATCAGATATGCTTCACTATATAAGTCCTGTGACTCTCTTTTCTGGAGAGGTAATTGATTGTCTAGATGTACTGTCACAGCAGTTGCACACTGGTTCTTATTAATTCTCCTGGTGGTGTCAGAACATGGCCCCTTGCCAAGAGCCATTCAGAATATAATTGTTTTAAATGATCCTTAAAGGGCCTGTTCGTTAGATTGTGTAGTTATGAAGTCATTGCTTCCAGGTATGATCACAAGCTTACTATTCATTGCTTGAGTCACAGATCTGATGTCCAATGTTAAATGACCTTTAAGAGCATCCAGCACAAATATTCCCTGTTTTCTCAACAGTGCTCTGGGTCTCATGTTCCAGACAATTTATATCCAGACCTTCATCATTTCATTTAGTTATCCACATGATTATTAGCCCCACAGGCAGCTGAACATTAGGCATAGTTTTTCAGTTTAGTGTCATATGTGGTGTTAGTTTTGTGCTGTCTTCCAACTCTGTCAGTATTACAATCATTCACATCTTTCCATTACCTGATGTTTTTATGACAGCAGATATTGCACCTCTTGTACATCGTCGATGGTGTAATTGGATGGCATATCGAAATACAGTGGCGGTTCATCAGCATTGCCTTGGAAGTTTGAGGGTAACTTCCAGTAAAATGAAGACCTTTGCTGTAAAGAACACCTGTTCTCTGCTTTATTCGTAAATACCCCCATGAGATGGATTTGAAATATTAGCCTTTCATTGGGAGATGATATTATGCAAAACTGGCTTTCCATTCATTGAATTTACACAACTGACAGTTTTTGTGTGTTTCTGAAACTACTGAGTTTTTGGACTTTGTACATCATCTGATATTCCAGACAATACAATGTTTCAGAAACTGGATCTGTTTTCATCCTCAGGTGAAAGGGTGGGACCTACCTAGTCTGTTGGGTTCAGTGATTGAGATTAGCTTTTTCTAATGGGCCACCCTTTCACCTGAGGACAGAAACAGAACTTTCATTAATTTTGTGTGCTTTAGAATTCCGAAATGTGGACAAAGAGCAAACATTTGGTAATGCCTCCGATATGTATATATTTTGTATTTTGAATTTCGTATTAAGTGTGTGGTAGGTTACAGGTGGAAGAAGTTAAAGCTGCCCAGGCACAACTTACTGAAAATAAACGCGCACGACTGGAGATGAAACTAAAGAGAGCTGAAGTGAACCGCAGGTTACATCTGAAGGGTATAGTCAAAAAAGCCCATGATGAAGAAGAGAAACTGAAGGAAATAGCATTTATCAATGAGTTAGAAGCACAGAATAAAAGACACGATTTCATGGCACTTTGTCAGGTTAGTATTCGATTTATCTGCTTTTGGTATGATAAACATATAATGCAGTAATGTGGAACAGTAATTTAACTTCAGGCCTAACGATTATTGCCAGGAAACAGATGATTTAAATCTCACATTACCACTGTGATGATGGCTGGATTTTAATTTGAAGGTAATAGTATTTATATTGAGAGCAGTGTGATTTTTAGGCCTGCTTGACTTGTGCGTGTGCTGTTGCATTAGTGCCATGCATGGATGATAAAGGTTAATTGGATCTCTTAGTTCTAAAAGAGAGTCAACTAGTTTAATATTGTAGCTGTACTGTAACTGTACGTCGCTCGCTGAAAATTATTTAATTGTGGTTATGACCAGTTTATGCATTGTTTGCACACCCTGAGAGGCACTCCTACAGCAAGGTACCATCCCGTGACCGTCTAATTGTAATTCAACATAGTCCTACTTAGGCTTATGGTGCCACTACTGTCATTAACGTCGCCAGTTTTCTCCTAGTGTTATAAATCCATGATTTGACATTGTGCGTGTTGAGGAGCGAATTTGGGATTGAAAAGTTAAGTCATTACCTAGGTGCCTGGAGACTTGCGAAAAGTGTTTTGCAGTGAAAGAGCAAAGATGACAACACATGGACACGCAATTAGGTTAAGAATGCGATAATCAGCATTCATGCGTAATACCGTATGCAAGACGCTCCGCTAACTAGGCCACTGGAGATGGTCATATGAGTAAATACACAGCGATAAGACGCAAGAGGTCCACCCCCAGCCACATAGAATACCCAATGAAAGCCTAACTTTAAGAAATTAGAACACAAGGGAGGAGCTATCTACCCCCTTGTCGTCCACGCTGAATCAGCGAATTAAGACTATAAATGAGGGAAAGTCAAGAGACTTGGAATTCTGATTTTAAACAGAATATTCAGTTGTCAGCCGGAGGCGCTGCTCAATATGGGTTTAACAAGCGCCGGAAGGGCCTACAGTCTTCTATGTCAAGTAAGTCTTGTTCACGTATATTAGCCATGCCGAGTGATAATAACGTTGTTCCATAGTATTGGTGATACAGTGTGTTGAGATATTGCATGTGCAATTTCAAGTGAACCCAGTGAGCCCCGAGGGTAGGATGATAGATTAATGTGAAGGCCTAGGACATTAGGCAGGCCAACAGTGATTCAAAATATATATATATATCAAAGTTAGGGTTAGTGTGTTATAGTAAAGATAGTATATGGGAACTTGAGTTACAAACATAACTAAGGGTAGTTTATGTAGACGAGACCGTACGATAGATCGGTAATCATAGATCATGTATAATAAGAAATGTACAGGGAAACTATATATGTTCTCGAGGGGGGGGACTTGCATGTCCTCGTTAGCAAGTCAGAGAGAGAGAGAGAGAGAGAGAGAGGCTCGAAGCCTTCACCCCATGAGGGGGAAGAACTTGAAGAAACAGAATATGTAGTCACGACGGAAGGACCGTCTTTGTAACCTGTAAATAATGTAAATTGTGTATATATATATATTAATGTAAATAGACAGCTAGGATAGGATAGGATGTACCGGGAGTGTAATTCATATATATATTCCACCTCCCACACCCGATCCCGAGTAATCCTGACGAGCGAGGGCAGAACTGACACAGGCCGCAGTGGCAGCCGAAGATGAAGATAAGAATAGGCAGGGATAGGCTCCTGCCACACAGGCAGAGTAAGGGAGCCTTGATAGTAACGCCCTCCCAAGATCCGAAGATAAAGTGTAATATTAATGGATTACGCGGCTACCTGTAAACCATATGCGGAGTGGTCAAGAAGGAGCTAAGACTATATGCCAGGGAGTAGTACCAACAATTGAAAGAACAGAAAATAGATGGTGGCAGCTTGTATGACAGAAGGAAACTCCGATATAGGAGAATCCTAGCTAAGGGTAAGCTAGGATGGTTGCGTTAACGCCTTACAGCATAACCAGTGGAGGCAAGGAGGGGTACCTGCACACCCCCGACGGCGCGACGTTACCAGGAGTACCAGTTTACGACATAACTAGTGGAGGCGAGGAAGGATACCTCCACAGCCCCTACATGCGGAGTTACAGTGGGGACAGAGGCGGGCTGACTCCACGCCCCCCTGGACCACGGCATTACAGCGGCGGCAGCAGCGGGAGGGATACCTCCATGCCCCCCTGCGCCGCTAGGGCATTACAGTGCGAAACTGGCCAGAGGGTGTCTTGAGTTGCCTGCTCATGTGCCTTTGAGACCTGAAAAGGTTTAGGATAGACATCTCGAAGAAAAAAAAACAGATGTGGGACGGGCGCCTGGCTTGACCCTTGGCTGTCTCTTTTTTTCGAGCAATGACCACTGGGGGACATAGGATAGTCGGTTATAAGGAGTGGGGAAGGACAGTTGGAAGTTTAGACAGGGAACAAAGAAATGAGTGACATTAGGGGTAGCAAGTAGCGCGTATGGCCAGCGAGCTGGGAAGGAATTGGTATGAAAAAGGAATGATGATGATGTGAGTGATGAGTAAAAGGCGAGGTTGAAGGACTAATGTAAAGACTGACAATCACTGTATGCAATTTTAATTTAAAACAGTAATAACATGATGTTGGTTCTGGAGAGCTTGTAGTTCATAAACCCCGAAGTGTGTTCCCTCCCGGTATCTGAAGCCCCAGTATCCCTGGGACAGAGATCTCATCTCGAGTGATAGTCATGGCATCTGTAGGTCATTGGTCGGATGCAGTACTTTTCTCTATCACACATTCTGTTTCACTCTCTGAAAAGTGCTTTCCTGTTAGGAAACAAATACTATTGTCAGAGAATGTCTGAACATCTAACTTGGCCCCTTGAAACTTTTCCATGTTCCTGAACTTAACACTTCATGGACCGGTGATTTAAATATTTAAATCACCCTGGGGACCAGCGTTTTTAAACCTATACCCTAACTTGTGCACTGTTCACTTCAAAAATTAATATAAAATCTCCTAATTAATTTTATGAACTAAAATTTTTGGAGAAGACTTACCAGAGCTCCTAGAAGTGCTTCAGAGTGTGATATTTCTGGAAACATTCCCCTCTGTGAAGAGGCATGACGCAAAACTTGCAGACGTAGGAAGTCTTGCTTCGCTTCTTGTGCACAGCGCACACACGGCACTGCCTAGAAGGATACTTTCCCGTTGATTGTTCGCTCATCACAATTTTCACGGGGGTATGTTTCCGCATATCACCCGAGAGACGCCCAGGGGGGTCCATATGAGGCCTCCGTGGGGTGGGACTAGATGGTCCTGGTCGTACTACGTCTGTGTCTGACACAGGTTCTACCGCCACCGTGAGGTCTGTAGCCCAGGCTTTTGCCAAATTCATGAGAAATGCCTTGTATTTCAAAGTTGAATTTTCGTTTAGCTCTTTGAAAACCAAAAATGAATTGAAAAGGGCACAATTTATAAGCCACAAGGCAACTTTCTTCATCCATTTTACTGTTTTCCTAGGAAGGGAATAATAGGCCAAGTAATGGTTGGCTCTATCAACTCCCTTCATGAACATATTGTACTGAGAAATACAAAGAGGCTTCTTCACTTGCCCGTGTCGTCTTTGAACATCGACCACGCTTGACTTGTGAATAGTGGAAATCATATTTACAACGCAAGTATCCCTCCAGGACTGAAGAAGAATGTCCCCCTTCCTCCTGAATGGGGTGTCACCACGTTTCAGGGATTTACATTCCTCTTTCAGATCTGGAGGAAGGCCTATGTTCACCCTAATTGTACCACAAATATGTACTTTCCTTGAAAGTAGGTATTCTGCAGTTGCCACACTGTTATAAAAATTATCTTGATAAACTTGATAATTTTGATGCAGATGGGGATCCAAAATGGAAACAATAGTTTCTTGCAATTTCTTGCCTTCACTGGAATAAATTTCTAAATTTCCAATATAGCCTGAAGTGCTTTCCATGACTACACAAACAAGTAGGCCATACTTTGTGAGTTTCCCAGGATTATACGAGTACATTCAAAAACAAAGCCTTCCCCTCCAAGGAATCACAGATTCGTCCAAAGACAGTTGCTGCTCTGGCTTATAAACTGCCTGAAATTTCTCACCGAAAAAGTCTAATAAGGGCTGAATTTTGAAAAACCTGCCCATTGATTGTGGTTGCAGTTCATTATTATTGAAATGCAAACACCACCATATCTGTTCAAATCTCTTACAACTCATGAGTTTGCCGAAAATGGGAATTTATAAAAATGGATCAGTGGACCAATAGTCTTTCAAATTATCCCTCTTTGTAAACCCCATTAGAATGATTATTGCCAAAAATTTTTTCATTTCTGCTGAAGTGACATCCACCCACTTCAACGCCTTATAGGTACTGTCGTACGCCTCACGGTGTTGGAGATAGTATCTGTTGGTCTCCTGACACAACATGTCAAAGAAACTCTCCAAAAAACAGTTCAGCTACTTCAGACATTTGCGTAGGGTCCGATGGCATTTGTCTCACCCCTGGATCACCAGTAAACTTTCCCAAAGTGGGTGTTTTGTTCACTTTACCCCACGTGGCTGTCCCCGCAATGCTAGCACTTGCACTTTCATCGGAGCTCTCACTGTCACATTCACTTTCTCTTCTGGTCACAATATTTTGGGGGCCCCTGTCACTGCCACTGACACTGCCCTCGCTATCAGAAGACGATGCAGTTGGCAAGTCAGATAACTCATCAGAGATCAAATCACAGATTTCTTCTTCTCCGAGAGCTCGCGCGGCCTTCAACTGCTTTCGTCTCTGAGCCATGTTGACACTGAGAATATCTTGCCTCACACATAGAAGCTTCAACTTGAACAAAGAGACTTTTCTTTAGAGTGAGAAGGGAATAGAGAGTGGTCACGTTGCTGACTCGGAAAACAGACGTTCCGAAGGTCAGCTATGCAGTACTTTTACAGACATGTGGCCACCAAAGTGAGGAATAGTGTGTTGCAACATAACATGTCCTAAAAGCCTAAATCTAGGCGACCGGTCTGCCACGTTTAAAACCCAAACGCCTAGTCCTAGGGCTCCGGTCCGCAAAGTGTTAAAGATCATCGCAAGAGGATCTTATTGAGAATCATTTGAAAACATTCAGAACAGTGATGTGATATTAGGAAGTGGTTTCCAGCAATATTTTCAGGCACTGCAGGCACGATGAAATGTGTATAAAAAGTCAGAAGGTGGATACACTTAACTAAAGATTAAGGATTATTTTGTTTTAAAGTTTCAGGCCTGTAATTTAATTATCCAACCTTATACATCCATAATCCTTTAGAAATGAACACATTTAAATATTTATTAGCATACTTGTACTCAGGTGGTTAGTCGCCACCTTTCCATCATGGCATCCTTGGTTTGATCCCAGGTGAAGTCATGTGGGATTTGTGGTGGATGAAGTGGCACCAGGGCAGGTTTCCTCCACCTACTTCCATTTCCCCTGCCAATTTCTGTTCCACCACCTACTCCATACTCATCCATCATCCAAGGCTGGTAGGAGTACAGTAAGCGAACTAGTGGCTGATGTATCAAGTGGACTCAGTCTCACCCCCCCTCCCCCCAAAGCACTCACCTTTAGGGCATTATGTCCCTCTACACTGTGTTTTCAGGGCATGGTCACCTCCCATTTCCAGGGATCTATTTGCCCTTAAGAGCTTGTGCTCCATTTTCCTATTTTACTCTTGAAATGAAAACTGGTCCTTTCAGAGCCACTACTAGTTTTATTCTTCTCCTTGCTTCTGTTGGTTTGCTCAGGGCTCTTACCTCACCTTAGGTTATACCACTTTCTTCCTTGCATGGTTCACTCTTCTTGCTTGTATGGCTTTCTTTTTTACCCTGAGGATGGAGGCAGTACATTCCTCTGAAATGATGGTTTACTTTTATCAGAGTACATATTATAACATGCCAGAAGATAGTACACTTTGTTATCACCGCTGTGAGAATCTTGGACCTCACGTATGTTTTTATTTTTTTACACTGTGCTAACATTATGCTGTGTTGAAAGTACAATGTCAAACAAGATAATTCAAATGATGATGCATTTGGGAAGTACCATCAGCTAAGGACAGGTGAATGTTGGAATAGTGTTGTGAAATATTCTGCTCCTTCTCCCAACCTCTTCCAGTTCTCTGTGTATAATAATTCTCTTATCTCATTCAGTCATAAATAATATATGCTGTAGATACATTGTCATTAAATTAATCTTATTTCTTGTTTGCCTCTCCTGAAGCATTTTCCATGCAGTCCCCTTGTGATTGCTGTTAAACCTTTATTGTGTGGGAATAGGGGTTTTAAATCCCTTGGCTTTATAGGGATGATGGCCATATTTTAATTTTGGGTGACAGTTTTTATAAGGAGAAAGTACATTTTATGTCTCAAACTTCTGTAGGTCTTTTCACTGTATTTTAAGTTCAGGGTATAATATTAGTGATGAAAAAATTCAGTGCCCAGCCAACTGGACTGTATAATACACTGACCTGAGAAGCATCACAAGTCTGATAATGGGTACAATGTTCTTTGTATTTGGTTATAGTGATTACTGAGTTCTTTGTACTTGTAGGAGCAAGAAGAACGTCTCCAAGGAATTCAAGAGGAAAGACAACGGAAGCAAGAAGAGAAGGCAGCCAAAGAAGCTGCAGTAGAGGAAAGGCGAAGAGTACTGGAAGCTGAAAGACAAGTAGGTTTCGGGATTTGGGACTTTCACAACAGTGAAGATTCATTTTGTGCTCTTCTGGGTTATGAAGCTGTATAGTCTAGTAGATGGTTATTGTTAGTGTTTTGGGGTATCATACTGGCTCCGTTTTCAGCAGATTACACCATGTCATACCCAGAAGACTACAATGTGATTGAGAGAGCTGTAGGTTCACTTTCAGCCTGTGCTGAGCTTAACAATACATGCAGCTTTGTCCTTATGCTCCTAGAATACCTACATGGCATGTCATTGAAATTAAGTGAGAGATTTATGGGTAATGATCTGGATATTTGTTCATGATGTGCTTGAGTTGAATCTCAGCTTGGACCCCAGCTGTCCTGCCCGATGTTTTTCATGGTTTTCCTCATGATCTCCAGGGAATTCTGGCATAGTACCTTGATTAGGCCGTAACTGCTTTCTTCCAAATCGCTTCTAATTTGTCAGTCATCCTACCATTCATACTGTATAATCTAGATAATGACAGCATCATAAAATACTCCAGAAAAAATGAAAATGTGCATATGACGTTAGACAACATTCCCCAATTTTATTTTCTCAGAACATTTCGCTAAGATTTTCTTAGTTGCTTTAATTTTTGGAATCACTTCCCAAGATTGTACCTGCAAGGGGGTCTATACTATAATAAAACCATGGTGATTATAGTAATCAGTAGGGTGATTAATGGTATTGAAAATCTGTTGAGAAATACATAAACGTATTCATGCCATAGGTAAGATTTGAACTTCCGATCCTGTAATTTGTGCAGCTTAAGTCAGCGTATGGCTTTAATGATTTTATAATTAAATTATTTCCTCAAGAGTAAATTTGAGTGTAGTTTTTAAGTGAGATGTATCTGGTTCTCAGATAGTAGTCTGTGGACTATTGTGTTGTCTAAATAAGACATTGGCAACACAATATTCATGGGACAAGAGTCCTGTATGTCAGTAAAGCGGGCTGTATGAGTTCTACCCAGAACTTCTTGTTCTGATTTGTGATACAGAAAATTGTGAGATATATTCAAAGAGTGTGGGAAAGTTGAATTGGGAAATTGGTTTCTACCATCTGCACTAGATCTTAGAATGTATTTGGTGTGTGGTTCACCAGCTACAGAACAAATTTAGGGAGCAAATGAACTAAAGTACAGTTTGCACCAACCACAAAGAATAAATTGTGTAGCCTCTTGCACTGGATTTTTCGCAGTACTTCATAAAATATAAGCATAAATCATTTGCAGTAAATCTTGTAGGCTGAAACACATTAACCCTTTGACGTGGTCATTTAAATTCCGCGGCCGCGGNTTCACAAATGTTTTAGAAGTAATTAAATGTTCAGTGATACCTTATTTCTGCTTTGTATTAAGTTTCACATTATTGTTTTTCAAGGAAAACTTGTATGATGCAGTTAAAATGTTTTTTTTTTAGGAAAGATTGGAAAAAATGCAGGAAATGAGAAGGAAGAGAGAGGAACGAGTTGGTAGGAATCAACAGGAAAAAGAAAAGGAAAGACAGGAATTGGCTAGAGAGAAAGCCAGGTATGATTTATTAATGAATATGTATAAGAGATTTGTAAATATTTCAGAATATAATTTTCTTTACATCATATAGACACATCTGTCTGTTATCAGGATCCACTACTGCAATATGACAAGGCTTTGATGTTATCATTTTCAGAATCCCCCGTTAGCCAAACAGATTGAGACTACAGGCATGGGTGGGGAATCCCTACTTCATGTTCTTTGATTCAGAATTTCCCCATATTTAGTGACCAGTTTATATGGTTTAGCCTTTTTTTTTCCTCTGTGAAATGTCCTCAATTTTAATTTTTATTTAGTGGCATAAATTAAATGGCTCTACTTCTGTATGCTGTAGACTTCTAATTTTTTGTTGTGAGAATACAATCAGTAAACTATTTTACACTTCTGAAAAGACAGCCTAAACTGAGAAAATTGAAATTCATTAGGTAAATGTAAACAAATACATGTTTTTGCATTGTAAGAGTAATACAATATTTGGTACTGTGTTCTTAAAACTTTCTCAAAATGCTCTAAAGATATTGCGTTAATAGTTTTAGTGAGAACGTTTGCTGAAGAAATTTTAACGGATTAATGGAGAGTCAGAAGTGGGTATGAATGATTTCCCATTGGAGGATACCAAATGACATATTTTTTATTTATTCTACAATCTGCAATAACATAATGACAGGTGCACAAACCTGTTAGACGTGAGTGACATTAGCCCCACTTACTGTAATCCCTTGGAGAGTGGCTAATTGCAGGACTAAGAAGACTGAATATGATATTAAGATTGAACTAAGGGAATTAGGTTGCAGAGATGGTAGTTGAATGAATCTGACTCAGGATCATGTGCATTGATTGGCTTTGGTATTGATGGTAAACCTTCATGTTAATTCAGAGGATTGGTTGGTTAGTAGGGTTCAAGTTTGCAGAAAAATTAAATGTGGATTCCATTGCACTTACATTAGAGATACAGATGTTGTGGTAATGAAACTCATTGAAGTATTTTTGGAGTATAAACACTCTCAGGATTGGTTAAAATTCTGAGAGTCTGGAAGTTGCTTCTTCACTCATTATGAATGCTCTAACAGGGTGAGAATTTGGTATAGATTGAGGATTATTTGTTAGGGGTCGAGAGGAACGCTTATCTGCACTGCATGCAGCTCAGTTGGCAACTCAAGAAGAACTTCAGAAAAAGATCCAGCAGAAACAGGAGGAATATGCTCGTCGACATGAAGAAAATATTGAACATATTCGACAGAGGGCTCTGGAATCTAGCATTCTGCGCTGTTCCACAGATGATGTAGCACCTCGACTTGCCCCTTATGACACCCAGAAGTTGTGTGAAGTGTGTAATGTACTGGTAAGAAATATATTTGTACCATCCTATAGCACAGAAGTGAGCAATTATTGGAAACCAAATTGGAATATCCATTGGAGGCTTTTACTCTTGTAATACAGCTGATCACATTGGTCATGCATCTTTGCCTGCTCCAACACTGGTGTTGTGGGTTCGAATTTCACTCTAGGCATGGATATCTGTTTTGAATTTGTTCTGTGTTTATGTTGTACTGTGTAGGTAGCAGGCATATGGCAGGCTGATTCCCTGCCAAAGGAGCTCTACTGACTGTCTGTATGATTAGGAAACAGAGGCCATGGTTCATCATGGACTGTAGCAGCCACATAATAATAATAATAATAATAATAATAAAAACAACAACAAGATTAGTTGTCAATTTTTTAAAATTAGAGACATTTATTATGAGTGAAAATTAGTGAAAGATGGACAAGCAATACCCTGCTTGCTGCTGGCTTCCTCTTTTACTGTAAAGATGCAGTCAGTACATACGTACGTCCAAAACACAGAAACTATTGTTACCACACTGCATGGCATCACAGCCCAATAGATAGTTGTTTATAGAACGTGATTTGTTATCGTTTTCACACAATTTAGAGCCCAGTGTTCTTTCTTTGTTAAATTTAGAGATTGGAGACATCTTTGTTTGTCTTGCTATTATACCAGAGAATCCATTCCCCCAGTTCTTTCTGTTTTGAGCCAGTGATTAAGTAATTCATCCGCATAATTTAAAATTCTTTTTTTTTTTTTTTCTCTGATACATTTTTGAGGGACCATTTAGCTCACTCTTCCGTTTGTATTTTTGTAAGTGGTTCATACTGTTTGATGATGCTCTTTATGAACACTTCATCTTTATCAGACTGCAGTCTTGCATGAATTTAAGATAATTTTTTGTCAGATAAGAATCTTTCTTAAGGAAATGCTACTTCATGGGAGAAGTTCCAGAAAAATAATTGAGGATTTTTACCCATGTATAATGTGTAAGCACCAGTCACTATCTTATGATATAAAATGCATGAGCTCTGCCAGTATGTGCATAGTTCAGTGCATTAAATTGCTGGACTTCCTTTTATTCTTCTAGAGTTATACAGAGTGACTTACATTTGGCAACCAGCAGGAGGAAGGGGTTTCATTGCTGGCTGATTGGCAGGTGTTTTAAGTTTGCTTCATAGTCTACATAAATAAAATATTGATTGAATGGTATAAGCTTGACATGTGGTGGTATGCTGTGATATTGAAGCAGTGATTTTTTTGTTTGGCCTAAGTACTGAATGTTTATAAAAGACCATGCACGAGGAAGTTTATTTCATTATAGTCATGTAATTAAGCATGTTTAAGTTTTCATAAAGTGTTCTGTTTACAGTTTGTTATAGTATAGAGCAAGTGACTGCTTTAATGATTAATATACTTGAATGTTAACTGAAACAGAATGCAGAGATTAGTGTGGGATTAAGATGTGGTACAGAATGAGCAAAACATATGGATGTATCTGTTTTCAGATTGGTTCAGAAGTATATCTGTTAAGTCACTTGCGAGGCCGGAAGCACCAAGAAGCTGTTCAGCGTCAGCATGAAGGAGTTGATCCTTCAAGAGAGGATCTTGCATCATATAACATTCGGCACATTGTTGATGCTCCAGCAGATAAGATTGACCCTAAAATAGCCCTTGATAAAGAACGCCAGAAGGCTCTAAAGAAGCGTTGTAAAAAAATAAGACTTCGAATGGCAGCTAGGTAACCAAAAGTTTTTCTGTTTTCATAATTCTGTGATATTTAGAATACAGATTCTCATAATCTCTTTACATGCTGTCTTTTTTCTTTCATCTATCTTCAACCAAAGAAGTTGCTCATGTTCAGTGTGTGTAAATGATTTATTTGCAGAGGTCAAGAATATGAATCAAAGAAGGATCCACCTATTAAAATGGAATCTCCTAATAAGGCTCGTATTCAGAAGTGCTTGAGAGATGTGGAGAAGCTGCACTCAAGTCAAGGAAAAGGACAGTGGCCAAATACAGCAATTACATCTCTGGAAAGAGCCCTGTGTGACATCAGTCGAATTCTAGATAAACAGGCAAGATATTTATTGTATTGTTAAGACTGCTGTATGACTGTATGAGTTTTTACTAATCATTGTATAAAGAATTTTATGACATCTTTTAAAATATTCCTCTTTTCTCATGATATGTGTATGTGTAATGATAACAATAAAGAAGAAGCTATCCATGTAACAGGCTGTGGAGGACCATAGGGTTGTGAGACATTGAGGCTCCCACATTTTGTAGACAGTCAGATCACAGATGGTGGTGAGGTTGTCAGCCTTATACACTGGCCACCCTTTACCCTCAGGAAGATTCCTGGTACTCATTTCTGTTAAAAGTTGAGTTGACACCAGGACCATAGTGTGGCTGGAAGGATTAGGTTGATTGAAAAATCCAGTGACATCGGGAATCAAACCTTCTGGCTTGTAGCGTAGTGCATAGTTATAACAATTGAAATTAAAAATTAGAGTAGAAAATTAATATGGCTTCCAAGGTGTAGTAGTTTCACAACCTATATTATCTGAGTATAAACAAATATTGGGCAAGCAGGAGACTACATATGCCAATTTATGTCTTTAAAATTAATTACATTTACCCCTCATTTCATTACATATGTAAGGTAAGCTATCATGTTTGATCTGTCCTTCCAACTTCAACCACAACATCCCTTCATTTCTGGTGCTGTGGCTGTGTATCTATATATACAAGCAGATTATCTGACAGTCTTATGCTCTGAGGAAAAAGACACACATTCCTTGCTTGTGCTAGGCCTGCAAAGGTTCAGGCCTCTAGCACAGTTGACAAGCCCATAAACCAACAAATCACAAAAGAATCACCAATATTGCAGCAGATTCCAAAAATTCTCCATTATTATACACAGTTTCCTGGCACTAAAAAGTTCCTTTTTGGGAAAAGAGCAAACTTTAAACTTTTAATTCTTAGTCCCCAGTACAAGGTATCTAAGTTACATACAAGGCTGTCTCCAGTGTCATCCAGTTTCTCTTTAGTGAGCGGGTGGCACTTGATTTGGTTCTTTCCCGTCCAATCAGTAGCTCTCCTTTTAGGAGCAATTGCATCATACTTTTCATGTGGGTATCATAAATGAACACTTATTTCAGGGTGTCACTCCAACAAGGTGCTTTGACACAGGAATTAATGGGACTGGTAACTAACTAACTAACTAACTAACTTCATGGAACTGAGTCCTTGAGAAACCACCAATTGTGCAGCTACTCAAAAACTTCCAAACATTTTATGGAACCTGAAGGTTCGTTACTTTGTTGACAAGAGCCCTCCACTGGTCCATATCTTGAGCCAGAATGATTCAGTCAATACCACCTCATCCAGCATCACAATCTGCTGCCCTGAACAATTGGACATCAAGTATACTTGAATGTTTAATACAGTAATAGGAACTTGGGACTGCAATCAACAGTCACTTAACTTATAAGTCTACTTAAAACTTGTTGGAACAATACTGAAGTGAAGTTGTGATGTGTGTAGGTTGTTGTCATGATGACCATACTGTGAATCTTTGATGTAAGAAGCATGTATCCACTGACATGCTCTCAGATAATCTCCCTGTACATGACAACTGTTTTCTCTGTGATATCTCGTTTGTGCAGTCCAATTGAGTTTAATACAGGAATCAATATTTAATCCATATAATGTAGTCAATATATTGTTTTGTGATATTTAATTTGTGATTTCATGCATTTGGTATTAAATTTCTATCTGTATGGCCTTATATTTTTTAAATTGGAAGTAAATGCATTAAGTGATGGTATCTCCTCTGAGTACCACAGTATTGATTTGGATGTATTCAGCATTGGTGAAGCGACATTTTTGGTTGGAAGGGATACTGTTGTTATGGACAGTTTGAATGAATTCAAAACAAATAATAATGAATATTTGTATAGGTGTCATTCAGAAGGAAACAACTTTGAATGGTAACGTACGTGTGGATTTCCACAATATCAGATAAATGGAATTTGACATACTATCCTGAGCATGGAGAATGCAAGATGAAAGATAAGAAATGCATACAAAATTTTAGGTTGAAAATATTAATGGAAAAGGCTGTTTGCTAGATACAGATGTAGATGTAGGATAATTTTAGGGCTAATCAGAGAAACAGGATGTGAGTATGTGGACTGAAATCGTCAGGTTCAGGAGAGGATGGGCTGCTGCTATGATCATGGTAAAGAACTTTCAGATCCATCAGAGATGTGAAAATTCTTGATAATGTTTCTGACTATTAGATTCTCAGGAAAGACTGTGCTCAATTTGGTTGATTTTAAAAAGTATGAGCACTTCCAGAGACTAGAAAGTTATTTGGTTCTTCCTCTCATGTCTTTTTGATTGACTGCATATTAAAGAAAAATGTTTTGATATCAAGATAACAAGTTTTATATTGAATTATGATTACATTTCAGAATTCATTGGATCAGATGGCATTCCAAGCCTTAAATGGTTTCGCAACTTTATCCAGTATCCTTAACTTGGCACTGGATGTACCGCTCAATATGGCGTCTTATCTTCCTCCAAAGTAAGTTCTTGATACTGTTTCATTTATTTAATGATCTAGTTGTGTATGCTGATTGTTTGTTGCTCCTTTCATTGATTTTCTCTCTTGCAGAAGTTTTGTAACAACCTGCAATGCTTACAATCTAGCCTGTCGAAATCATGCTACAAACTCCAAGTATGTTCTCTTCAGTAACAAAATTAGCACAGTACTGGACTTGTTGCTCCATCGACTCACAGTAAGTGTTACTTTTCATGCCTTTCTATATTCAGACTCTTATGTAACATTCATCGTATTTGTGGATTCCAATGCAGCACACTCTTTTCTGTAATAGCAGTACAGCTTACTGACATTTCATTTTGGTTACTACATAACAAATCCATTGTTCAAAGCTAATCACGTTGCACATATTACATTACATTACATAGAATTTTATGAATGTCATGATAAATATTGGCCATTTAAGTGTATTTAATTTACAAGGTACATGACATGGCTGGAGGTGGCTCTGATTTTGGAAAGATGGTAACTAATATCTCAAATGCATAGAAAATGGACAAAGCCCAACATAATATTTACATTAGGAGCCAGCCATTGTCCCAGATATGTAGAGAATCACTACATGCATGTAGAATAAGATATTTCTACCTATATTTGATTAAATATTAATGATACTGAAAACCATTTCAGCTAAACATTGTAAATGTGAATGGGAACTCCATGACATGTACCAGTTTTTTGTGTGGCATGCTTTGTCTGAGAAAACCGGTAGAAATTGATTTGAACCTTGTGTGAAGTAGAGACTGTATTGAACCACTTATTTACAGAAGTTGTTTATGTGGAAAAATACATTGTCAAGATGCCAAATCAACTTTCCTTGCCAAATATTTGGCCCCTTTTCAGCAACTGCACCTCTATAAACACTTGAAAATTTGTCTGTAGAATGTCTAGTTGACAGCTTATTTTGGAGGAACAAATTAATAGTAAATAGTTCCTTTAGTATCATTAGAGTAGATCAGCATGGGTTTGGTCTTTAGTTTTGGTATTGGCAATTTTTTTCTTCTTTGAGACTTTGGCTTTTAGTTTCTGGCTCAGAAGGTCTCTTCACCTCTCATTATTCTTTCTAAGTTCTTATCCTTCCAGCAGTCTTGCTGGAAGGTCTGAGCAGATTTCTTCATATTTGCATGCTTGCGAGGTTTTTGGATCTGTTGAGGACATTAAATTTTGGTTAAAAACAATCTCACATATTCTCTGTTCATGTTCAGTTCTTTGGAGCTTCTGAATAATCAGTAAGTGAACGTTTCTCGCCATTATAGTCTCATTACCCTACTCTGGACCTGTTATTTAATTTATCATACATAGGATCTTTCATCATCTGTAACTTCTTGCTCTTCATTATAAAATCATTTAACCTACACAGAAGCCAATGTTTTGATGCTACCATATAAGAAAATGATATAAGTTTAAGTAAATTGAGAGTTGCCATCAGAATTAAGCAATACTATGAATATACTTTCTGGAAATATAATTTCCAAATTGCAGCCTGGTAAGATGTGTTACATTACTAATTCAACAGCTTCTTTAAGTAAAAAGCTCCCTCACTAGAACACAATGAAAATACACTAACCTGGATCATGTAATCTGTTGCATGTGGCTTATCTCTACCCTGGCTAAAAGCACTAGGCACATTTATTCTCCAAAAATTTACAGGGGATTGACAAAAATATGGAAACACCCAACAAAAAACACATTACTGTGACTCAAACCTCTGGCATGCAGAACTGCTTGTAGTCTCCTTGGAATGGATAAATACAGGTCCTGTATGATTTGCAAGGGAATCTTGTACCATTCTTCCTGAAAAACATGGTAAGTTCTGTTATCGATGATGGAGGTGGATAGCGCGCATGCAGATTGCACTCCAAAACAGACCACAAAGGCTCAATAATATTGATATCTGGCGATTATGGGGGCCATTGCAGGTGTGACACTTCATCTTCGTTCTCAGAAAATCAGTCCTGGACGATGTGAGCTATGTGAACACAGGCATTGTTGGCTTGGTAAATGGCATCACCATTAGGAAACAAAGTTTGCACCATGGGATAGACCTGGTCGCCCAAAATGGTCACATAGTCATTGGCAGTGACATGACCTTGCAGGGTAATGATGGGTATGACAGAATACCGCGATATGGCTGCCCATACCATGATTGACCCCCCGCCATGTTTCACTCTTGGCACCAAACAATCTGGATCATAAGCTTGGGATGGCGTTCTCCAGACGTAAACTCAGCCAGAAGTCGGAAACAGTGTGAAGGTGGACTCATCCGATCAAATGACTGTCTTCCATTGCTCCATAGTCCAGGTTTTATGACTTTGGCACCACACTGTCCTCTTAGTGGCATTTTGATCATGGATGAGTGGCTTTGGAATTGCAGCTCGTCCAGAAATACCCTGCTTGCGGAGTTCCCTTCGTACTGTTTTGGTGCTGGGTTTAGGAGCGTTACATTCCGTTCAGCAGTCACTTCTGAAGCTGCAGTCTTACTTTTCGTCACAATCCTACACAATGTTCATCTGTCTCAGTCACTCAACACACATTTCCGTCCACGCTGGTGTTTATCGGATGCATATTTTCCAGTCCTCCTGCATGCGGTCATAATCTTGGATACTGTGCTTCGCGAAACACCAAAAACCTTGGCTACCTTGGTTACAGAAGCACCCACCATATGGGCCCCAACAATTTGTCCGCGTTCGAATTCTGTTAGCTCTGACATGATGCACTAAAAATTGCACAGAACACTGTCTCGACAATAAATGAAGCTTGCAGCGTATTGCGGAGGTTGTACAGGTAGTGGTGTTGGGCAGATACAACAGCGTGACCTACAAACGTCGCTAAAATAAACATTTAAATTCAGGCATGCAGTTCACGAGGTGTTTCCATATTTTTGTCCATCCCCTGTATTATTTTAGGAGGTACTGTTTCATTTACTTTTTTCATAAGAATTACAGTGTATTTTTTATGCTAGATAGAATAATTCCAAAGTATTGTGTCTGTGCACCAATCACCTTATGTTCAAAACCAAAAATAACACACACGTAGACTCATAACAAAATGAAATATGAAGCTGAAGAAATGTTTAACAGCTGTGATAAAACAGAGCAAGGCTACTCATCACTTTCATAATTTCTTCAGCCTACTTTTTCACAAAGCAGTGTCTGGTGGTATTCAGACATAACTGGCTGCCTTTGGGCACTTTTAGCCTACTTTTCTAAAATAGGCTTATGCAATCTCTATGCTATCTCTGTGTCTGTGAATCCCCTCCATTAACTTTTTAATGCCTGAACCAATCTTTATGAAACTTGGTATGAATAATATGGCACCTAAGCCAAATTCAGTGGTATACAAGTTGTGACAATTTAATTTTTGGAATGACCCTGTGAAAGCAGAATTTGCTTACCTGTGCACTAATGGCAGCTGTCACCTTCGAAGTACTCTCCTTGTGAAGCTATGCACTTCCTGAGAAAGTGGTGCCACTGCCAGAAACATTCTTGAAAATCGTTTTCTAGAATACCTTGCAGTAACATCGCATTGCATTGGATGTTACAAATGTCAGCAAATCTTTGTCCCTTCAGGGCATTTTTTCAATTTTGGAAAGAGCGAAGAATTGCAAGGGGCCAATTCAGGTGAATAAGGTGGATGGTCCATTTTTGTAATGGATTTCTTAGTCAGGAACTTGCAAACTATTTAACGCATCATGCACAGGGGCATTGTCATGGTAGAGATTCCACTTGTCAGGCCAGAGTTCAGGTCTTTTCCTCTTTGTCAGCACTCCCAAATAATACCGTTGATTCACCATTTGTCCTTGTTCAGTGAATTTATTGTGGTTGAAGAAACACACAATCATGGTCTGAACTGCAAGTGAAACGTGTGCTTTTTTTTCCCCGAGGTGAATACTGTGTTTCCCACTTAGGTCTGCGAAAACACAACCAGAACATCTAAAATGAACTACAGAAAACCTACTGTTATCTGAAGTGTATGGGGAATGGGGTAGTATGTCTGCTAGTTACACTAATCTACCAGTGGCATGAGGAAAATTCTTACAGAAACCCTGTACAGTACAGTCTCATAAACAATCTTGTACAGTATTAAACATAGGCAATATAGCATATTTATGGTGAAGTCATTTCAGATTCGCTGTAATATGATCACTCAGTAAAAGGTAAAGTTTTTCCTGTGCTTGACTAATTAAGCACTACGCCATGAAGGCATGTGGGGAGTGGATGTATAGATCCACATTTTCTTAACCTTGGCACTAACTGGAGGTGAGTGGTCAGCTTCACTCTTTTGCTGCTTTACCCCCGGGGAATGAGCCTCTGGTACCCATTGGATAGGAGGCTGGGTTGACCCCAGGGCTGGTCTTGATGATGTGGAGAAAATTATAGACACTACCCAGACTTGAACTCCAACCCTTTGGTCATCCAGCCTGTAGCCTATTGCTATACCAACTACACTGTCCTGCCTCCCTGATCACACTGTACCATGCTGTAATAGCACCTGTGTGAGGGAGGATAATGAACAGTGCTGCTATTGGAGGCTGGAATAGGTACTGTGTGGTGGGTGAACAAGTGCACATCACAAGTATTCTCATGTGTTTGGAGTAACTTTATAAAAATGGAAAATTTTGTTTGAAATTTTTGCAAGTTGCTTGAAAATTACTGTATATTTAGGAGTTTAATTGCAAGAAGTTGTTAACTAATTGCATGGAGCACAGATCTGTTCAAACAGTTGCACCAGTGACAGCATATATTCTATGTGTCAGTTAATGTATTTGGTCCCTTCCATTCCTTTAGCTTGAAAGATACATAGATACACAAAATCATCAAACACTGAGGAAGTTACAGGTTGTACTTCACATGCCCAGGCAAGGGCAGAAACCTGAGAACATGCCTTGCAATACTGATAGTATGTCCACTTTAAATATACTATTTTTTTTATTATTGCTAGTGGGGTGGGACTAAGTCCCTTGTAATGCAGCCACTTCTGGCCTATTGTACCAGCCCCCAGATGATAGGTGAGGGTGATTGTGGAGCAGTTGGTGGAATGAAGATTGGCAGGGGAACCCGAAGTACTCGGGGAAAACCTGCCCCAGCCCCACTTTGTCCACCACAAATTGCACTTGACCAGACCCGGGATTGAACCTGGGCCGCTGCGATGGGAAGGCAGCGACTAACCGCATGAGCT